TTCCGGTAAATTCCGAAAAGGAAAATAAATGAACATAAAATACAAGCTAAATTTATTGAAATTTTCCGGAAGTATGGTGTTAGCCAGCTGATTAGCCGATATTTTAGTCGGTTGGCCGACTAAAACCTTGCGGCTTGCAGCTAAATTCAAAATTCGTGGACCACCTAAAAATTTATACCGAATTATGCCGGGTAGCGGGTAATCACGAGTTCTAGATTATGTATCGATGTCAAATAGAACAGTCTGGAAAAATCATTGTTTGGAACTTGCTTGTGTATTGTTTTTATTTTTTATATTTATATTATACGTATTTTAATAAAAACATACTACATTGATATCAATATAATACATAATCTAGAACTCGCTGCCCGCAATAATTCGGGATAAATTTTTAGGGTGGTCCACAAATTTTGAATCCTAACGTATAGTAAAATGATAGACCATTATTTTAATCGAAAATGTTCAGATTGGAATATAATAAGATTTTTAGAAGAGTGCACTCTACAACAAGTTGACCAGAAAATAGGTCTTTACCTCACATCCCTCGAAGCGATAGTTAAAGTTTTTGAAGGAAAAAGGCGAAAACGAGCACAACAATTATTAGATAGATATAGAAAGGCGAGTTCAAGAAACTTTTAGTTAAAAATTATATACAAGAAATTGGTGGCGTGGCAAAAATTTTTAAGATTTGTGTCATTCAAGCTTTTAAGGCGAGCCACGAATCTAGTGTTGGGGTGCAGGCGAATTTTAAGTTTGCCTGACATTCAAGATTTAAAGTCGACCTAGCACTGGACCCATGGGGCACAGACGAATTTTAAGTTTGTCTGATGTTCAAGATTTAAAGTCGACCTTATGGGAAATCATAGAATTCAGAATATACAGTTAAAAATATTAAGAATATTATTATATTAATTCACAAATTTCCACCTAGGGTTCTCGGCCGGATCATACCCTTGTAAAAAATTGGAGGAAACACTATACACTTAGCAAAATGTCTGGATCTACAATTCACTTTCACGGAGATTCTACAATCAACAATGGGAATCTCATATCTTCAGGTACAGCTAATATTTCGTGTACGAAACCCAAGACTAACGATCAGGAAAACAAACCCAGTGAAGTTGCAACTTCTTTAATGCCGAAAGAGGTAAAACAAACCACAATCCTATAAAATTATTTTTTGTCTTTTTTTTCACAAACTCTTTCTTTACAGCAAAAAGAAAGTTGTGATATAGAATAGACTGAAAATATCTATTCTAATAAAATAAGAGGAAACGAGGTAATTGCATTTATGTTAGTGTTTAGCATAAAAGTATCTTTCTTAAATTTTGGATGTTGCACAGCCTGTTTCTGAGAACGATGGAGATCTGTAAACAAGTAATTTAGATACACCAGGTCATGAGGTAAATTATATCTAGCAGATGTTGTTTAGCTGTAAATGTTTACTATTCTCATCACATCTACTCTAGAAGGAGGTGATTGATGATCAAGACCAAGAAGGGGTGAAAGATGCGACCAGTGGTGAAGAGGCAAAGAAAACGACAAAAGTGGCGAAGAATAAAGTAATTCTTCATTGGTAATTTTTAACCATTTTTTTTTACGAATAACAAGAGTTATGCTTTTCGTGTCTAGGTTAGAATAAGCAAGGAAAATCGAGAGGAATTTGATACAGCATTTAAGTCAATGGATGAACAATTCATGTGGAAACTTTCGACCAGAAGATTCGTCGAAAAAGAGTTATATGGACTAGGACAAGAGCTTGAGTTCGAGCAGTTAGTATTCAAGCATGAGATTATGTTCGTGCAGGAATAAGTTTATTAAATTGTGGTCTCTTCCTTTTTCTTAGTGCTATCCATTCTTTCATTATAGACGTTGATGATGGATTAATTTCATCGCATTTCAATAGCACAGAACTCGACGAAATCGATTGTGCCGCCGGTCCTCACGAACCTGATCTCTCAGATCAAATTGCTGAATTTTTATATGAATTCGTTGGCAAGGTATGATTCATTTACATGTTAGTGACAAAGATAGATTTATTGTAACAAGGTCACCAATCCCTTTTCCTATTATAGACTAGACTGAATGAGATACGAGAGGCCATAAAGTCAAAGATGTTCGGTAACAATTATGTTCATGAAAACCATCACGATAAGGATTATATCATATATGCACTTTACTCATTGTAAGTATTTTTGTTCTTTGTGAGTAATTTATTAAAGCTTTTTAGATGCATCGGCGGGACCAACTAAATTTATTTATATTTCAGAGTTCGAGAAATTCAATGTGGGACCATGAGAGACCCAAAACTGGAAGCGTGGTTCAATTGTCACATTTGGAACGTAATCTTTGACCAAGCTTTCGGTGATATTAATGTGATATCCGTCGTCAGGTAATTTTAAAAACTATATGATGTTTACTTTGATGAATCTGACAATGTTTCCATCAAGAGGCGAGAGTACAAGTTTTGCCCAATTTTATTATAAAATTGAGCGCAGTATTTTTTTCTAGTTATAGTGAAGTAGTGATTACTACAATAATAACATAAAATATTTTTAAATAGAATATTTTATAGAAGGTTTTAAATGTTATATTTATAAATTATATAGCAAGCATTTTACACATTAGGTTGTAAAACATCTTCGTGCAAAAGTTTCAAGTCTACCCCTGTAAAAGGCTGCAAATCAGATGATCTGAATGTTTCAGAATATCGAACAATAATGATAGCAATACTATATAGCTATAATTATTTAAGGCTTTCTTTATAAAGGCTAATACTAGCAAGTTGCTTAAAATATACCAGCAGTTAAAGCAGTTAAGTAAATGTTACCCTTTAGGTACTATTCTAAATTTTCATTCATTCTTTTCCATTACCTCGAAGCCAAGTTTTAAAGCGGTTTTTTAATGTCGGATTCCTCGGATTCTCAAGCTTGCCAAAAAAAATTCAGAATTTTCGTTATGTATTTCTTCCCGTCATTCACTTAGAGACTTTTCTAGTTCACTAGAAGTTGGTCTTTGTTTAGAATCAGCATCTGATTAAATCCTTTAACAGTCGTGGTGCTCTAAATTTGGCCGCAAGCCTTGACAAATTCTTAAACTTAGATTTTGGGCATGAGGTTTATCATAATAAAGGTGTAATCCCGAAATAGATATCAGTCACTTGAGTATAAGGTTCGCTATGTAAACTTCAGGAGCTACATAAGACAAAACTCTGTAAATTTTTCCTTTATTTTTTTCGTCAACTAAGCGATATAATCCCTAGTCAGTCAGTAATGTAAATAGATTGAAGTCACCACCGATTAGTATGTTGTCAACATGGAAGTCTTATAATTCTCTATTTTGTAACTAACCTTCCTCCTTTTCTAGTTTCGGTCATATTCTAGTAAGATATTACGCATGATGATTATCGATTAAAACAAATCATCGCTGTTTGCTACCGATTGTCCGATTGCAATTGATTGCAATCTATTATACGTGATTGTATCAGCAACCATCTAATCAAATTCGATGAAATTTTTTTATTTGATATAGAATCCAAATAAAAAAAATTTCATCGAATTTGATCAAGTGGTTGTTGAGATATCGTTGCTCAAAGTTTTTTTTAAAAAAATAACAAAAATGTTAGAAATTATGTCAATTTTTCCTAAAAATTTGAGTGAAGGTATCTCAGCAACTATCTAACCAAATTCAAATGAAATTTTTTTTAGTTGAATTTGATCAGGTGGTTTCTGAGATATCTTTGTTCAAAGTTTTTTTTCTGTAAAAAAGATCAAAAAAAATCCAAATTCGCCTATGATACAAGAGTGAAAAAATGTATAACTTCATGAGCTCTCATTTATTTGAGCTAACATATTCTCTAAAAGTTTAGTTATTGCGCAGTAACCACTTTAAACCGAACTTTAAGGTGGGTACCATGAATTTTCATCATAATTTCAAAATAGAAGCTGCGCCAAATTTTTCCTAAAATTTTAAGCGAAGACAGCAACCATCTGATCAAATTCAATGAAATTTTTTTAATTTGAATCTTATAATTCAAATAAAAAATTTTCATCAAATTTAATTAAGTGGCTGCTGAGATATCTTTGCTCGAAATTTTTCAAAAATAGCCAAACATTTATTAAATAAAAACTGCGTCAAATTTTTCTTAAAACTTTGAGCAAACCGAAGATATCTCAGCAGCCACCTTATCAAATTCGATAAAAAATTTAGGAAAACCTTCTATTTTGATATTATGATGAAAATTCACGGTACCCACCCTGATGTTGAAAAGTTCGTCTAAAGAATTACTGCGCAATAAAAGACTTTTAGAAAATATATTAAAACTTTGTTTTGTAAAATTTACGCTCAAATAAGGAAGGACACATGGAATTACCGCATTTTTTCACTCTTGTATTATAGGCAAATTTGGTTTTTTTTTTGATTTTTTTTTTAAAAAAAAAACTTTTGAGCGAAGTTATTTCAACATATAATATACAATAGTGAAATACATACAAAAGTAAACTGATTATACTATATATGCATTGAAATCAGCAATCAAGGCCAGTTTTATTAATATAATATAAAATAAAAATAAAATATAGAAAAAAAATACGCATATTTTAGAAATTTGTGCTTTTCTAATAATTTTTTAATAGAGTATAGAGTCCAATCTTCAATTATTGGCAAAAGACTAACTTTGTCCTTCACTTCAACAAACATTGCAATAATTTTTTCCATTATGAACCTCAATGTAAAAGCATTCTTTAAAAATTCTTCAACTATCGGGCATGTAAAAATACATAATAGTCAACTAACTCACAGAAGGATAAGTAATAGGACCATAGACATGTTATTACTCGTACAAGTATTAACACAGGCTTACTATTGTGATCAGCGATGGCATTTTGTCATTTAAAAACAATGACTTCTTGTCATATAACAAATCATTTTTGTTATAAAAACTCATTTATTTTTTATGACATACTGTCATTTATAGTTTGTATAATTTTTATTAACCAATGAGATAAATAAGTCAGATATTACAAATTATGATACTTTCTAATGCAAAGTACAGGCAGAGTAAATTTACAGGATAGCCAACCAATACAGCATTCATATGATGTCTTTTTTAATAGTACGACAAAAAGTCTACTTAACTAATAATTTACGCAACTAATTTTTTTTATTGCTGTGTTGATAAGAAAGATAAGTTGTGTAAATGCTGTGTTGATAAGAAAGATAAGTTGTGTAAATGCTGTGTTAGTAGACTATTCCAAATTTTTTCTAACCGTGTGATATGACAACTAATAAATAACGAAGACTATAATGAATGTATATTAACTTTAAAAGATGCCATTGTGTTGCCTACATTCATTTTCAAACCGATCAATTATGTAGGACGGATTCTATCTACTTCAAACACAGTAGTTTACAATTCTACTAATTGTCAATTTATGTTGACTGTCAATTAATATGTAATAGTTATTTCCTGGGCAGTTGGGTATAAGCGGGGGCTGACAGTCCCGCTTATCACATAGTGCCCAGGACATAACTGATTTATGCCCTGCGATCTTTATATAGTGACCAGGGTATAAAATAGGTTCTTTACAAATAATTGAAAAGTATGTATTTTTCATTTACTTTTGTCAGTCTTCAATGTTTACACCAACTGGGGGTTTTTTTTTTTTTTTGAGATATAATTTGACCATTTTTTAAATTCTCACCTCTTGAAAAATAACTTGGGCGATTCATAATGCAGACAATGAAACTAAATGTAATATACCATTGATAATAATATGTAATTTATATTCATTAATGATATTAATGAAAATAATAAATTTAAGTAGTTCTTTTTTTAAAATTATATTTGAATCGGCCTTTTTTTTTACTCATTACTATATGTTAGACCTATCATTAAATGATGGGTTAAACTTAAACATTTTTTTTACAATATATAATCAATTATAATGGACAATTTGCAGATTTTCCATGGAATATAGAAATGAGCAATCTACGTTTCCTTTACACAATACACATGATGTAGAAAGTAGACCAGCAGCGCGTGAATGAGGACAGAACGTCAAACATCAATAATCATTCTAACGGCTATTTATAGTTATTATCAAATAATCATTCGAACGGCACTGTATGAGTTGGTGTTAAATAATTATTAGTCTAATAGCTTCTTATAATTAGTGTTAAATAATTATTCTAACAGCTATTTATGGATAGCGTTAAATGATTATTCTAACAGCTCTTTAGGGTTAGAGTTTAATTGTCATAATAGGGGATTTCAGACCTAAGGTTCAAGTTTCTGATTTCAAATTAAATTAGTGATAAATTTTGTAATCAGTGATCTATAAATCCTATTTATTTTTATTTGCAAGCCTATTTATATAACAAAGATATAATATACATCATCAAAAAAAGTTTGTTTATTTTATCTCCAGATAACTCCTCTTTTTCATTTTCTGATTTTGAAATTTCAAACCAAAAATAGGACTTTTTCAAACTCCCACTTATTTTCGAAATAAGTTAACTCTAAACCCCCATTATACTTAATATAATGTCTTACTATATATAATATAAGAGTCGAAGAAAAGTCCATTAAGATAATAAAGATTAGCTTAAAAGGTTGCTGTTTTTATATTTCATGAATTATACATACGTACAAATATGTATTAGTATTATTGTCATTTTAATTCCATTTATAAAATATTTTTTATGACTTGTCATTTTGCCGTGGCTTTGTATAAAATTTTTTTATAATAATGACATGTGTCATTTATATTCATTTTCATAAAAATTTTTGACTTTGTCAAATTTTATGTTTGGGATTTGGGAGGGATTTATAGTTTTGCCAACAAGTATAGTTACATCTGGAAAATGCCAAAACTACGATTCTGATTCTTTTATTAGTATTCATAATTTAAGCGACATAGAAGTATAGGTCCTCCACTCCGCGTCGGAATTGATCAATTTTCTTCAAGATCAAGATCACTAAAAATTTTACTAGTGCTAATGAAATCACAGTAAAAATTCCCAGCTGATAATTTTGCCAGTCCAGCTCCGATGCATCACGACGGGTTTGCCCCTTAAAAATATCACGTGTAGATTTTATAAAAATTTTGAAAAATTTCCACACTCAAATTAATTTATCGTTATTTTTTTTTTCTAAATCCACATTGATTGATTCAATAATTGTATCTATAAGTATGTCTAAAGTTGATAATGACGCATCCTCATCCTCAAATCCCTTAATATCGATATGGGCTCTTCTAGAGGGCTACCCAAGTTCTGCGAAAATTAATGTTAAGCCAAGCGATTTTATATCACAATGTCCTGATTTAAATAATTTTAAGCAAATTCTTAACCAAGAATATGAGACTCTTAAGGATGTAGAACCGGATAATATTGATTTTTTCTCCGATAAGGATCGAACACAAACTCTTCTCGGTGGTGTATTGCTAGCGGACCTTGTTACAACTGCTTCATGCCCACTTATCGTTCGATACCCGCTGTCCACGTCGAGTAGTAAGTATAATACGTTTTCATGTATTTATTTTCCTATATGTCTAATACTCATTTATCTTCTCCGTAGTCATAGTAACTTATAAATCAGAGAACAGCGAAGTGAAGTGCCAACTACCACACTCTAGCGGATCTTGGGATTTGCTACGAAAAGATGTTATAAAAAATTTCAGTAAATTATCACATTTCGAAAATACAAAAGTGGATGACCTCTATTTTGAAATCTCTGACGAAGAAAATTTTTATATTGAGAATGAGTTTCAGTTTAACATGCTCGTGAAACGGATCGAAGAAAAAAAGAAAATACGTGTTCTTCCCGACCTTAAAGTCCAAATTAAAGGTATGCTTTTATATCTTGACCTGGTACGAAGAATGGTGTAAATATCCTAATTCAAACTCAATTAATAGATAAAAGACCTTATAATGAATGGGACATCGAAGATGTATTCAAAAATGTTTTGCATCAATATTATGATGGATCACTTGACTACGCATTTAATTTAGATAAACTCCCAAGTTACAATTCAATTACCGAAGAGGAGATGAAATTCTTTGTTGAAAATATTAAAAAAACGGGAAAAGTATTCAAATATAATATCAATGTTAATGAAGCAACTGCTCGAGAATATATATCTATTTTCATGAAGACCGCAGTTAAGCACATTCAAGAGTTTACGAACAATTCAGCACAGTTATATGTAAAAGCTGATCTTTATGGATCTAAAGGGTATGGTCCCGTGGACTATTTAGTGAAACTTGACGATTTTGCGGTGCTAGTCAATGGGATCGGATGGGATTTTACTAATGGGATAGCCCAAAACATTATGCAATTACACAGTGCGTCAGAGGTAATTCCACCATTTTTATATTTATTTATTGTGCTTAGGGTAGACCTAACTATCAATGCATATTTTCAGAAATTTGAATCATCACAACAATTGTTTGGAATTGTAACAAATGGGATTACTTGGTATTTCATTCGCTGGACTGGTTCTCCAGAAAAACCCAAAGCTGAAATCTCTCACCAATATAATTGTGTTTTTGAAGGGGAGATGCAGAGTGCAAAAAATATAGTTTCTTATATTGTTCGTATACTAGAAAATCAAGACGATATGTTAAGAAATAACTTAAAACGTGCATGTATTGACTAAAGCAGGAAAAATAGTGATATTATGTGTTACTCATTCTTTCGAATTTTTTGAATAAGAAAATTTTTTGTAACAATTATTAATGAAGATGGCCTCCCTTTGCGAATGTTGAAAAAATTTCACGTGGCTTTTATATTATTTTTTCTGGATTTAGCTCATCACTTCACAATAATAAAACGGACGCTGGTGTCTACAAATTTAACAATTTACAGTAACACATGTTAATGAATTTTTTTGTTACGTAGACAAATTATCATATTCACATGTATATATATTACTTCTACGATACATAATAAAATTAATTTGTGTTAAACATTTATTGTCACTGCGAATTTCCAATTTTTATAGATGATATGTGATACTTCTTTGATAAAACTAGAGATGTTACCAGCTCGTTTGGCTCTATTCATTAATCGGTTTTTATAATAGTCAAATATATAAGCCGGATCAAGCCTAGATAAAACTTGAACAGCATTGGGTATATTTCTGGAAGTAATAATATAATGAATCTCCTCTGAAGTTAAATAAGTCGCATCAGGTCTTAATCTTGTAGGCATTTTAATGAATTATAATTTATCAACTAAACAATGGACTATTTACCGTTTGGTAAAATTTTCACTAAAATAGCGGCTAGATACGAAAAAGTTTCATTTTGATAAATATAAATTAACTGATAAATTAATCAAAAATGTGACTATTGATGTAAATTTTATATCACTTTAGCTAAACATTAAATGATTTTCGCTACGCTCCGGACGATTAAAGTCGGTATTTTATTTAGCACATGATTTTTTTTTTCTTTAAATAAAATGGACTCTGAACAACTTCGCAATCTTGGTTACAATTATCAATATGTTAAGAAAGACGAAAAGAAGGCTTTTGAGTATTATATGAAAGCAACTGAGTTAGAAGGTTCAGTGGCGATGAAAGAAATTGGAAGTCGCTCAGCTTTGAGTAAATCCTTCTTGGGTTGAGATGCAGAAGATGTATTTATCTCGGTTTCCAATAGAGCCTTTTCGGGATGAGATACAGGTAGTATACTTACCTTGGCTTCACAGAAGTGTTGGAGATTTGAGGTTTGGCAGATGTAAAATTTCAGTCATGTGACTTTCTATATTAGACTCTGAATTTGTTCGGCGCTGTATGCTTTAAGGTACATATACCAAATAATTTCTTTACAGAAACCTTGATTTTTTTAAAAAATTTAAACAGCATATATTTAACATATAATAAAAGTCTTAGTAAGCTCTGTTAACTCTCTTGTAAGAAACTCATTAATATTATAAACTTATTATAAACAGATTATAAATAATTTAATATATTTATTATAGGACTATTATATTATTAAAATATTGGAATTTTTTTATTTTATTCTGTT